AAAAAAAAAAAAAAATAAAAAATTCCATATAGTGCATGTGATTAAAAGTCTAAACAACTGGCATGGAAAAAAGAGCCCAAGAGGCATCCTGCTGTGAAAAGGCTGCGATGTTATTGTAGCCCCATTAGGTTAAAGATGCTAGTGAGGCAAAGTCTGCAAGCAAAGCTGCTGCCTTCATTAGCCTAACAGGTGGTTAGGATCATTTTTATGTACCTGTGTGATGGCTGTGAGTGAAATACCAGCTTTAATGAAGTCAGTGGCAGAATCCCGTGGACTTTTCAGTACAACAAAATGTTGTATAATGGAGAGTATTTAAGTTTAATACAGTGATCTTCATCCTGACTGTTTGTTTTGCTCACCATATTTACTGTGGCATCACTTCGTTAAAATAGAGAATAAGATGACATGTGTAGGCATAAATATTATCTCAAGATATTTTAAAGTTTAATGAAGAATAAAGTTTTCTAGAGTGCTGTAAAACATCTACCTTATTCTGCTGCTTGGTGAAACATCAGTGGATCTATATTACTCAAGTCCTAACTGTGTTCCAGGATGTCTCCTCTTGGGAAGATGTAGGTGTAGTTACTACACTTGTAACATAACTTTAAACATCAACTAAAAAATATGGTAGAGGGAAAGCTCTCTTAAGGGCCTATTTTTAAACTATGTCTCCTGTGAACAAGGTTTCTGCAAATCATGAACAATGCCACTTTTTTTTGCATTCCGTACACTAGATTTTAATCTCATTTATATCGATCAAAACACAGAGTAACTTTAAATTCAGAAGAGTCAAGACAAATGAGGTCAGAATTTGACCCATTAAGCCTTCACCCATCCTCTTTGTAATCCTAATAATTAGTATGAACTGATTGACAGAAAATTATTCTTTGCTTCTTATACTTTGTGAATTGCATTGAAAATGAAGCTCTTCGTTGAGAAAGCATGACTTACTTTCTTTTATTAGCTCTAGATACTTGCATATTAACTTTTAAATTTAATATTCTTGATCCTTCCTTGTTCAAATTAATGAGAAAACTCTCACTGACTTTTTTGAAAGACAAATTTTTTTAGGGCAAAGAATTAATTTCTGTAAATCCCATGTACCTCATACAAATTATCTTTAGTTTGCTTCTTGTAAACTGTCATACCAGATGTGATTCAGGGTTTGTAGGTATAACAGTGTGATAACCTGAATTCTTGCACTTGTAGGAAATGCTTTCTACTATTAATAGATAGATAGATAGATAGATAGATGAATAATTGCTCAATTTTCTCCTAGAACTAGCCGTTCAAGACTGACGTCTCCTAAACAAATTTTCAAGAAATTTAAAGTTTGTATCAATAAAATAATCTGGTTTTTTTTCCTAAAAAGCCAAGTTTTACTTAATGTGTTTGCACCAATTTAACTGTGATTACAGCCAGTTAAGATTTCATTATTATATCTATCCTTGTGTTGTTTATAATCCAGTAAATCTCATTCTTTCAATTCAGAGCAAGGACAAAAAAACCTCTACAAATACCAAGTTGGTATTTACTATTTTGCAAGAATTCACATACAGTATGTTAAGAAATAATGGGGAAATGTGACGTACGCTGTTCTAACTGCTATTAACTTAGACCGTAATAGTCCTGCTTTGTTCCTTAAATGGTAATGTGCCCAGTATGACTATATTGTTATTAGGAGAACCATATAAATTATTTAAATAACAGTCAGCCTCTAGAGCTGAACAGAATTGTTACTGTTTTCGTTAAAAAGATCACAGCTTTCCCGAACCCCATGTTCTCCTTGAACAAATGTTTTGCCAAAGGAAAGACCTCCATGGCCTCACAGCCATCAGAAGCAATCTGGCACCACCAGTCCTCCCACTGAGCCTGCCTGGACATACCACTGCTCAGACCTGTTGGCTCTGATCTTTCCATGCTAGCTGTCTTTGAAGTGGGTTTGACCTACCAAACTTTGCTTATACCATAAGTGTGCTGCACAGTTGAGAAGGTCAGGGCAGAATTCAGGGAATCCACAAAGTGAATTCAAATTCTGATTGTTTATGCAAACTAATTAAATGCATGAACGAGCTTTTACCAACATGAGACCTTGCCTCCCTCCAGCGTTATGGCTCTGTTCCCCATATACTCTGCACCATTCCCAGCTTTCCAATAGCAATGCTCCCAGTTTCCTCTATGTCTGCTAATACTTCCATGGTATTTAGAGTGGTCACCATATCCCCAGCTTTCCTTTGTTTGCTTCGTGGGCTGTGAAAGAAACCGGTCTGCAGTTCTTGCTGTGCTGCAGGTCGCCCAGCTTGGCCAGCCGAAGGAGAGATGGATTCTCACCGAGCAGACTGCGTGCAGTGTGACTAATAGATGGGCCAAGCCGAACATGTTATTTCTCTGCTGTCATTTCATCATTGCATTGCATTACATTGCAGATGTTCTGCAGAACTAGTCTACTCAATGAGGAAGCCAGTGCATTACCTACCAGCTTTTTCCTTCCCTCGTTAGGGCTGGAGTTTTTTTGGATGGAGAGGGTTACTTGGTGTTGATTGCTAAATTAAAGCAGAAAGCTGCACCCTGTGGTACCAGCTCTCAGGAGGCAGCAGGAGTGCGAGGTTTCGCCACCCGGGTTGATATACTGCATCGTACCTGCAAACACATTGCCTAGTGTATTCTGGACTCTTCAGGCTCTGTCATGGCTTTGGAGACACATGGATAAATTCAATGGGAATCTCTAGATTAGAAAATACAAGTATTTTCAAGCCACTTTAAGTCTGGAAGTCTGTGTTTTCTAGCTGGTCAGCTGGCCAGCAGGCAGAGCAAGCAGAAGATGGTGCTTCTCACTTTGCCCTCGCATGCAGCCCCTGAGCCTTATCTTTTCTCTAGGGAGCAGCAGGGACCCCAGTCAGCCTCAGGTGGGAGCAGCAGAGCAATGGCACAGGGACACCTCCATCCTCGACTGCCTCCTCCCCCTCTCTGGACCTAGATTCTAGCGAAGCCGCTGCTCTGGAAGCATCCCTTGACACAGGTATTACTCCACACCACGGGCTGTCCGGCTTCCAGGTGGAGCTGCGCTCCTAAATTAATAACATTCAGGAGATGCTGTTGCAATAGCTTGGTGGGAAAGCAACACTTGAGCTTCCTGCAGATGTCAGCTCCAGGAGGTGACCAAAGTGACTTATGTCATGTCTTGGCTTACAAAAGCTCATCTGAATTGCAGAGCTGTCAAAGCCCTCAGGGACTGTTGAGGATTGCCAAGGACATCCTGAATGTACATTATTTTCCCTGAAAATTTTTAGCACAATGAGTTAATAACAAACATCCTGAGTTAACAAGTTAGTGTAACAAGGAACTCTTCATCAGGCACTGATGGCTTTTATGACCATACTGGATGTCTCACAATATTCATCTGGGATTTTGCCTGTCTTGTAAAAGCTCCATTGCTAGTATCACATCGGTCATACAGCAATCTTTATTTCCAGTTTTAAAATGCCTCACGGTGCTGGAACATACTTTGAAACTGTGAACTCAGCTCAAAAACTGGAATGCAATTACTAACTGATTTTACAAATATTTCACAACTTTAAGCCCAATATCATATCATATTTTTAAATGTCTGACTCATTTGGTAAGCTCAGGATAGTCTATATTAATTATGGCCCCAGAAGATCTATCTCAAGAGTCAGAAAGCAACTCCATTTGTAGTCAAGGATTGCAAACACAATCTTCCTGGAACTGAAGGTTGTGCATTGTGCAATTTCCATGGCTTGTACAGCTTTTCTATTTTTAGTTGGTTGAAACCTGCAATACATCATATAATCCTCCTTAAATTGTCATTCATAATGCTCATTTCCATTAACTTGGCATAATAAGTTATTTTCTTTCTTAAATTTGTATAGTTACTACTTTGCCTAACGATGTTACACAAACAAAACTTTATTTTTCTCTGATACAAAGTTGATGTAAGTACAAACGGCTAATGATGTGTTTCTAGTTATGGAATTTTAAAACCAAATTTAAAAAAAACCCACAGTATTTTCTTTTTTTTCTTTTTTTCTTTTTTTTTTTTTTTACAAAATATGCATGTGTTATGAAGTCCAATAACTGTTCCATTACTTCAACAAACCATTTATCTAATCCTCCACCTTTATAGGCATTTGGAAAAGTTTCTCTGAGTTTTGAGAAAGCCTAATAGATTTGCACGTTTCAGCTTTTTTAAAGATACAACGGGAAGAACAATTCTAGTGAGGTTTTTTCCTTTCTAGAAATCCATCTTCAAGGTATAAGAGATCAGTCAGCAACAAATATTTGTACAGAACTCTCCAGCCTCGTTCTTGCTTACTTAAATAGAGATAACGGCATGTATTTGGCTACCTGCAGAAATTGTTTGCACAGCACTACTTCATACCCTGGCTGAGCAGAGGGCAGGGGAGCTCAGCCTGCTGCTGGCACACCAGCCCATGATGCCTATGCTATGACACTAAATGCGGGGTTCTGACAATATTTTCATTTTCTAGACTTTTCTATCCCTCTCATAATAATGCTTTGTCTTCGACGCATATGCTTATTTCAACAAGTCTGAGGTTTGTTGAATACTTGGCGTTTGCTGCTTTCCGTGGGGTACGGCCAGGTGATTTCCCGTGCCTGGAAGGCCGGTGCTACAGCTGAGGAACGCTACTATGGCGGCATGTGCTGCCAAGCATTTTTCCCTGCAGGCTGTTGTTTTTTCTCGATGCCAAAAAGTAATTTGCAATTTGTATCAGTAATTACAATTGTAATAAAAGTTTTTTCGCAAGCATGACAGCTACCTTGGGTCAAGCATGTGGCAAACTCCCAGCGGTACAGAGATTGTCTAAGCATGGCCATTTCATACCAGGTCAGTTTTGCAGTCCTAGAATCGACTGACAAACTGCTGATTTATTTATATATTTTTTTTTAATTTATGCTGGCTGTTTGGCATGCAGTCAATGATGTCGTACGGGATGAATTTTAAAGATATAGTAGGATAACAGATTTTGGAATTAACTTTGATTAAATGAGTTACAGAACTTAATATGGAAAACAGTTTTTTGGGGTTTTGAGTGAGTTTAGTAATTTCTCTAAGACAATTATCTGCAAATCCTAAAGCACTGTGCTGATAAAAGAAAATCTGAAAGTGTAACTGAATAGAAATGAACATGAACTGATGAATTTAAATTGGTTTCCTAGCTGATAAGTATTATACTAATAAGCAAATGTATGCATTCCTCAAATTACATTTGGTTTAACAGAGTCTTTTAGGTTTAAAGATATAAAATACTCTAAATAATTCAGTAAGGAAATATTTATTCAACATGAGGACTTTGTCCTGACTTTTCTGAAAGCCTTGTGAAGTATTCTCAGTACATATACCGTGGAGGCCCAGCCGGTTAGTCTGAGCTTGCTTTTTCTGTACAGCTGTGCTTACCAGTTGGCTATTGGGTGCTCTGGAGAGCTGCCCTTTAACTTTCAGCTGGGCAGGTTTGAAAAAAACCCCACTTTCCCCTCTGAAATTCCTTGCAGTGTACGTGTGGACAAATACAGATAAGGAAAAGCTCTTAGCTGTGGCCTATGCAGTGAATATTTGGAGGAAAGAGGTGGTACTCAAAGCTCACTTAGACTTTGTCACTAGGGATAGGAAACTACGAGTAAAGTTTATTCTCACTGGGAGTAAAATAGTATGTGAAATGTGAAATGAGCATGTGAGAATACTTTTTGCTACATCTTGTTTCTTAAAATAACTTAATATAGCACCTTAAAATGACAAGAAGCAAATTTGCATCCTCACAGGAAGAAAACTGGTTAATGGAACAAAACTGGTTAATCTTCTTTTTCCCAACCCACAGGTGAGAAGCTAAAAAGCAATACCGATCCCATTTTGAACAATTCAGAGGCAGGAGGAAAGATGAGGCGTTTGGCCGTAACTGGCATTTACACCTAAGAAAGCAGCTGCCTGGGCAGCGCAGGGTCTGGCTCGCTCCCCGCGCAGCCAAGACCTGACGGAGCTGCCAACAGCGACCGCAGCAGGTCCTTGCCAACGCCGTGGATCCACCACACATGCACAAGAGAAGCAGCCCAAAGTAATTTCCCAGTCACCTAAACTTCCTTGAAGGCAGCTGAAAAATATTTAAGTAAACAAATAAGTAATGCTGAGACATTACATAACTGCTGGGTCAGACAGTTTTTCACTAAATAAAGAGAAACAGTCATTTCTCTATTTCTATGCTGCTTTCTTACCTGCTTTCTTACCTGATTTACCATTCGTATACCATCTATATAAGCCTTCCCCCCCACACCCCCCCTTTTTTTTTTTTGGATGATGTCCAAACTTATGGTGAAAAGTCAATTCAGTCTTTTAAATTTGTATTGAGAGACTGAGTGATGCCTTAATATGCAGAGGCACCCACCAGTTTCCTTCAGCAACACTGAGGGGTAGACACAGTCCCACAGCCTCTGTCCTGTCCTAACATGTGCCACCAAGTACGGCACTGTGTCAGATGCTGATAACGAAGTGCCAAATATCTGCTCTTGCCTCCCCACCCAAAAGCAAAATCGGCCTTTGTGATGATGCATTTATGGATCCAGACCCAGTTTATCAGTCAGCTTACTGATGTGCCCAAATTAGGGGCACAACCTCTTCAGTGGTGGCTCGGAGGGGCAAAACTGGGACCTCTCAGCACATCTCAGGGTCAAGATGCAGTGGTGTCCTCCAGCCATGTCCTCTCACAGGGAGGCTGGAGCAACACTGCCTTCTGCCCAGCACCTTTTTCCACGGAAAGAAAATTAGGGGATGCTTTCCCTGATAGACAGGAGCTATGGTGGGCTTCAGCAGTGGTCATGGGAGCTGCATGACTGAGGACGAGGACAGGCCTGAAGTCTTAACATAGCCTCTGAGAGCTCAGGCTCCATTTCAAAGACACTGCAGATTATGGATGAAACCTAAACTCCTAGCTCAGGCACACAAGTGAGATACTTAAAGCTGAACAGTGTGAATTTGTGCCAGTGCAGATGATTTTATCTTCATGTAGGCTTGTAAAACACCCACTCCATTTGTAGGAGCTCTTTTTAATATCTTTCCATGGCTCTGAACTGAAATTACTTTCTAAGAAAAGCAGCTAAGAATTTTTACTCTATCCTAGTGGAAAAAAAAAAAAAGAAAATGCAACCTTTTTTAAAAAGTTAAGTAGGGTAGGGGGTTTGGCTAGTTGCATCAAGACAAACACAATTCACTTAGATTTTCTCCCTGTTGAAATTGTATTTTAAGAAGTCATGGACATTAAAGCAACTTGGATCCGGCAGCAGATAATTTTAGTTATGTTAATGCGAGACCAAGCCAATGCAGAGACATTTATTTGCTTCTTCCTTCTCTACTCCAAGTAGCTATGCTGTGTTTTCAGCTTAGCCTGACTTCTTGCTCTGAACTAAAAAGCCAGGTGAAGATTTGAGCAGATTAACGTTGACAGGCTGTTCAAAAAAAGATCAAAGGCAGCTCAACCTGTAGATGCAGGATAACTCTTTAACTTCATTCTTTTCAAGTGAAGAAATTGTTTAGGGATTTTGAAACCAAGACATTAGAAGAGGCACGTAAATATGGTTTCTATAAATGAAAGCTATTAAAGTGGATGAGGCCATTTTCAATGCCCAGGTGAGGTATCTGCAGGTTTTTATGCTGCTCCCTGCCAGCATGAAGCACTGGTATTTTTTAGACAAGTTAGGCTGACATTTACTTCTTTACTTTCTTTGTCACAAGTTCTGAAGTCAGTGGAAAGCCTGCAGGATTACTGGGAAATAATGACAGTCACTGGGCTGGCACTGCCAGGAATGAAGTAAGACTCTCCTTTCCTTTACCTCCTTACAAATAGTAATGACAAGTGAAGGCCAGGGCTTTGAATAATGCAAGTGCTAGTCCTCTTATCAGTGACATGAAGCAGAAGAGCTCAAAGTTAGTGCCACCGAGCCCGGGGAAAGCCAGGAGAAGCCTGGTGTGAAGTGGGGATGTTGTGCAACCTC